CTACTTTCTCGCGTGCTTCCTGGATCTAAGTGTTAGATTCTGCCAGGCGGTTTGGGTCTCCGAAAGTTCGGAGGTTGGGGTTTCATCTCTCGCGCAGCCGAAGCATGATGCAAGGTCTGGTGAGGCAACTGTTGACTGTCCTGTCCTAATCAAGTTTAAGGTTTAGGGTTTAAGTTTAGGGTTGATCTTGAGCAACTTCACCAAAATCTTCTCCCTCTTTAGTCCAGGGGTCCTACAGTAAGTAGGTGATGAGCAACTTCCCCCAAAACTTGCCCTCTTTAGTGACTCCCTGGGCAAGTCCTTGGTCCCTTACCGTAATCTGAGACTAGCTATATCCTGGACGCCTCCATCCTAACCCAACGATCCCTGGAAGGAGGATCTAAATTGAAAAGCCAAATCACCTAAAGAAATCCATACTAACCCCCACATGATATACATATAGATGTGCGTATATATATATATGTACATTCCATACTGACGCAGGGGAACCAATCTTTGAACCCCTTGGGAGAGCTGGGAAAGGGTCCATGCCTTGGTTGTCCAGGGCAGGCATTTGATCCGGGTCGGGCCCACACCTGATCTCCTGGGCGTAGCTCTTCCTGAGCTGCATCAAAGGCCAATTTGTTTAGGGGCTTAGTAGGGTTTAGGGGTTTAGTTAGGGGTTTGGGGTTTAGGGATTTAGGGTCTGAGGGCTTAGGGTTTAGGGGTTTAGTTAGGGGTTGGGGCTTTAGGGGCTCAGGGTCTAGAGGTCCCGGGTTTAGGGTATTGGGGCAGCTAGAAGTGGAAGAAAGCAATGAGATGGGAATTTTCAATTACGGGCTTTCGAAGGTGATCATAGTCATGACTGTGCCGTCTGGGCCTCCATGAAAAAACACCAGCTTGGGAATATCCCATGTCAACACTACTAACAAAAATATCACAAAGATGGTAGTTTCCCAAAACAAGGGGACCCCAATGTAGATCCCAAAATACTATAGTCCTTATTATTGGGACCCCCAAAAAGGTACCCCTAATTTTGGGAAACCTCCATATAGTAGCAACAAGCATGTATGGGACTATCTGTGATTATAAAAATGAGGACCTGTCTTGACTTGCCTCCCTCTATGCTGCCGCGCTTCGATGTGTGGGTTGCCTGTCCGAGCGCCAAGATGCCAACATGAAAGATAATGATCCATGATGAGAACCAAAGGAGTAAGCATGACATAGCGAGAATGGTCAGGTCGAGAAAGACAAGCGTGGCCCAAAGAAAGTCTCATGCATATGGGGGATTGTCAAAATTATGGTCCCTTTTTGGGTCCCCTAAATTAGGCCCCGTATTAGGTCCCGTATTATACTAGGGACCCAAAAAAGGACCATAATTTTGACAACCACCCATATGTGTATTCTCAGCATCAGAGGGGCAGATGCGAATCACCCGGCCTTCTCGGCGACTGTGTAATCTGGCTTTTGGTGCCCAACGCCAGTAGTTGTTTCAAAATACCTGGCCTCAAGATCGCCAGGAAGGAAACAAGCAAGCACGGGCAACCACTCCAAAGCCCGCAAGACTTAGAGCAAGAGCCAAGATCACTTCAGCATAGCCCTTTGTCTCAGCCCAGTGGCATGATTGACTTCTTCAATGATGCCGTCCTGTCATCCCAACATCATCCTAACCCATGCCCAAGCTGTGTGGCTGTTACCTCGCTCTATTACAGTGGCTCAGGCAACACCATGCGGGATTTCTCTATCCCATCAATACCCTATCTTATGGTAACGCCCGAGAGCACCCCCTTCGAGCATATTATGAGCATTTTCATGGGCTTCACCCTCTGTGGTATCAACCTGTCCTCATGCTGGACCTCCGTCTCAGCCCCTTCGTGGTGTGCACTTTGCAATGCCACAGTAAGGGGACCCTCACGCATAATCATCGGCGTGGAGTCGTCGCCCTGGAGGAAGGGTCGCTAAAGAAACAAAAGGCCAAATGAAGAATGGGATTGACATTCATGACTTCCGCCCAACGTGAATGATTCTCTAAAAGTGTTAATGAGCACCAGTAGCAAATGAACATGCAATGACCTAGGCATAGGACATTTCCAAGTCCAGGCAAGCTGTGTCAGGTGCCTTGCCAATCATGTGCGAAGCAGGCTCCCATTCCAAGCCACTCTTCGGGCCATAAACACGGTCGAAGGTATCGTCTCCCTTCCTGCATGCAGAAGGAATTGGCGGTTCACAAAGTAATGATCCCTTTTTGTAAGTCCCTATCATGAGGACTCACCTATTGGGTCTATGCTGGCTCCGACTGATTACGCAGCCCCCCCTCTGGGTATGCATACGACGGCATTGCAGACACTCAGTGCCTGGGCACTGTTGGTACTTTGGTCCAGTCTTTGAGCAGTCCAGATCGAGGGACATGGCCTCAAAGCGGAATGTATTCACAGTTGTACTGAGCTGCTGCTTGCAAGCGCCAAGGTCACCAAACAAATGTCAGCAGGCACCATAGCCCGTGGCGCTGGGGTACAGTGCGCCCTTCTCCCGAGGAATCACGGAGAACACGCTCCTACTGCAGTTAGCACAAGTATTTTTTTACTGGCCATCACACTCTGTGATGCGCCCGGCCTCAAACCAGTTCCCAATCAGCGTCCCAGCCTTGCGGAGGTCACAGCTCCAAATGTATCTATAGGTTCAACAAAGAGAGCTTCAACGGTCTCTAAAGTCCTGCCAGTATAGCATTCGAGGCATCGTATCATATCATAACAGATTCACCACACACGCAACTATCCATGTCCAAGCACCATCCGTGAAAGGATCAGTAGCACACCCGAGTCCTTCATGTGGTGTCAGAATACACTGATTCATGATAAGTGTGTAGCAGGACAACCTTAATCTTAAACATCCATGGAAGGACAAAAGGTATCAAGGGCGCTGCGCCGGCTCCTGGTTGCAACCTCATCGTCAAGTACCCAGTTGCAGGAAAGAGAAAAGGCAGCAGATGAAACACCACGTGTACCCATACGAATCATGCTTTTGATGGGTGTACAATGTGGTTGTGGTTGTGGTGGCGGTGGTAGCGACGCTGCTGCTGGTGCCGGTGCCGGTGCCGATGCCAGTGCCGGCGGTGCTTGTGCTGGCGCTGGCATGCGTGATGGCAGTGGCGGTGGCGGTTGGTGGCGATGTTGGTGGCGCTGTTGGTGGCGGTGGCAGCCGCATCGGCGGCTGTGTTCAAAGCAACTGTAGTGATCCAAATCATGGACAGCAAGAATTGGCATGCCCAGGAAAAGCAACGCATGCTGCCCAAGGTTGGTTCCGAGGCTACGGAGAGTCCCGTGTCTGCTTGCGTCGTCGAGGCACTTTGTGTTGTAGGCGTCATCACTGAACTGCGCCATCTCTAAAGCAGCTGTTCAGCCTGAGAAGTCGGAAAACATGCATGGCGTGCAACTTTCACTTGCTTGCTGCGGCATGCCTTAACACCACCCATCCCCTGCGCTGCAGCCCAGCATCAGTGGCAAAAGCCGATCTGCTGCTTCTGCTCCAGCTTCAGAGCTTGAAGGCCGCGGGCCACACATGAGCAAATGCGCAAGAACGCCCCAAAAGACATAACAAGTTTTGGGATAACGGAAAAGAAAATGGAAGCTACTGTGGTATGTTGGGGTTTTATATATATATAGGGGTACTGGAAAAGGACAGGGAAACTACTATAATGGGTTATAGATGTACTTGGAAAATCCAAAGGAGTCGAATATCTAGAATTGTTAGACTAGGTACACGCAAGCTGCAGTGCCTTTGACAATCCATGCAGTCTGCCCACCACTCTTTCACTGATAGCATTAGTTCTTGGGAATTTTCCACAAATAATGGGCCCCTCTTTTGCAGATCCTTCTTGGGGTCCCCAACGTTGAGAGATCAGCTTAAAGAAGCCACAATAATGAGGAAGAAACCACACTTCAGATGCACCCAGCCTGATACAAAGCACTGCACCTGCGCAGCACTGCAGATATATATATATATATATATTCACTCTGTATGGCGCACAAAAGCTGTATCCAATATCGGCACGGTGGATGAAGGAACTCTTGTTCAACCCTCTTCACCTGCAGCCATGAGGATCAACTGTACTTATTTACTTATGTGGTAGTTGCCCAAGATTAGGGGTACCTTGTTAGGGGTCCTTATAATAAGGACTATAGTATATCGGGGTCTATATTGGGGTACCCTAATTTTGGGAAACTACCATGTATCCCAGGTTGCGCAAGATGTTCACCATCAAAAGTTCTGAGCTGCAGCAACAAGAAACTTTTGCTTTGTGCCCGCGCAGGCGGAGGTTGTCTCCAAACAGATACCGTGCCACACACACTTGTGTGCGCTGCTAATGCTCTTCACCCATGGCACCCACCATGCAGCCAAACCAATCATGAATGTGGTTGTTGACACTCGATCACTTGCATGGTATGGGGTGAATCCGTCTAGGTGTAAACTGGAGCAAACAGAGCGCAGCGCTGGCTTCATTGCATCGTAGCGTTGCCAGTCCCCAGGTGCCAATGACATTTGCCTGCGGCCAACAGGTACCCCAAGGCCCGTTTCCTTCTGCATACGCCGAGTGCCCCTTTTTCCGCCTGCAACCAATGCCTGGGCTGGGCCAAGGAATTTAGCGTTCTTCCAAAGGCCTACCAGTGGCAACAAGGAATAAGGGAATCTGATCTCCATACATATATATATATACATATGGGTGGTTGTCAAAATTATGGTCCCTTTTTGGTTACTCTAAATATTAGGTGCCGTATTATAATAGGGATCCAAGAAAGGACCATCATTTTGACAACCACCCATATATAATTCCTACATAATATCTTCCCTCATTCCCTGCTCACCCCGATAAGATCTGGATGTGCAGGCATGGCCTGGTTCATCATGGCCTGCCTCTGTGCAGCACTGTACAAGCCGGCATCAGACGGAGCGTCCCGAGCCATAAGTTGTAGAGCAGGGACAGCAGAAAGCTGCGGAATCCCAAAAGTAGCCCCTAAATCATCCCCATCTGGTGATACTGCTAAATGTGAGCTAGTAGTACTACTCAGAAAATCCCGATAACCCTTTCCTCTATTCCCAACCCTGGGTAGATCCTCATGCCTTCTGGGCTCTCCCAGTGGCATCAAAAGTGCCCTCAGCAAAACCCATGTCTTGCACATTCTGCCCCAGCACAGCAATCACGTCCTCCCAAAGACAAAAAGGCACAAAGCACACAGTGCTCATACTGTGGAGTTCCATGTGGAGGTTTCGGCTGTTTACTTGGAGACCCAACTTGGAACCCCCATGTACCCCATCCCGCATCCTTGTAGAGATTGCGCTTTATGCCATGCATCGTCTCCTGAGCTGCTTCAAAAACTCTTTACGCCACCACGGCCCTGCTTAAAGGATATTCCTTGTAGGTCCTCTCTGGTGGGAAATTCAACCTACCCTTATTACACTGAAAGCCATAAGTTTTTCAGAGCCCTTGTTTCCTTCCATTGCTTGCTGTCTAGCTTCACGTGTCTTCGGATCTTTGCCTTTACTTCGCAAGGACTTGGCCAGGTCCATGGCAGCCGGGTAAAGCTCTGACGCTGGTGGGGTGTCCTCCACAACTCCTGAGTCCATCTAGCTAGGCATATTATGAAATAATAGTGGTAGCCATAATGGTAATTCAAGACTACAACATTCGTGAGGATGGCATCAGCCATCATCGCCGTGAGTTTTCCTCACAGCACAAGGCAAGCTGCCTTTTGCTTTGAGCTCTTCCGACTGATAACGTTTTGCCATGCAGAGCGTGTCCTTACATGCAAAAAACCACACCGCTCATCCCAGACACCATGACTGCTCATTAATGACCGCGCGTCGTTCCACATAGCCAGAGGCAACTTGGCTTTCCTTGGAACAGGCTATGGCACCTTTTGGACCGGTGCAGTTTGAATCCCTCCTTCAATGACACCCTGGGTCCTAGGTCCATGAAGGTGCTAAGGCACATCAACTCTGTCATCCCGGCAGAATATACCAGGCCAATGTCAATGCCGGGCACGAAGAAGAGTCCTGACACTGCTTCACTTATCAGGTCACTGATGATCCAGCTTTTTCAACTTTGACATCTCTGCATCCTGAGGTACCCCTATGTACCCCTCACGCTACGCCCGTGGATGCCTCTGTATACCATTCTATGGCCAAAGGCCTGGCGAAGCAGCCGGCATCAAGCGCTTGTCAAAAGCCAGCCCCAGCATGGCCCCGCCAGCTGTTATGTGCCCATTGATTGCAGCAATCGTCGGCATACCGAGAGTAAGGATTCCTTGGACAAGAAGTACTGAAATTCAACATACATGAAGCTGCAGTTGCCCAGAAAAGCCCTCGGCTGGACATGAGCTTCTCAGCATCAGCTTGTATCCTGGTGGACTCAGACACATTTGCGGTGATGTACCTTGTCATGCAACTTGCAGATGCCTGGACTGCAAATGAAAACATTCATACAGCCAGTCGCAGGGGATTACTTGCAGCCAGATGCTGCAAGTCCATGCCGTTGCAGAAGAAGCGCCCGTCACCTCACCAGTCACAAACAACACCGGCTAAACAACCCGAGCTCGTGCAAAGCCCTTGCCAGGCCCGCCTATCACTGTCAGAGCTTTGGCTTCCTTCGCCTCTGCAAGATCCAAGGCCGCGTTCACCTGCAAGAGCGCAACCCTGCGGTTGTTTAAACCCTGTACAGCAACACAGAGCTCTTTAAAACTGAAGCGCGTGAGTTTAAGTCAGCTCACGCCGGAGAAAATCTAAAAGCCACCTGCTCGATCAGAGGCGGGTTGATGCGGTGTTCAAAGATGCCTGGATCAACTTGATAGCTGACTGTCCTGTGGGCGCTTATAAAGGTCAGGAGCAAATCCAACAATGACCCAGGTGCGAGTACCCCACGCGAACTGACCTTCTGAGGCCAGAAGACGCACCTCTCAAGGACGAGTATCCAAAAAACGAACGGCAGCAGATAGAAGCAGACACTTTTGGCAGCTCTCCGAGTTTCATTCCAGTACACTCCAACCTACTAATCTGGAATCTCCCTCTTTCTCTCGGAGTCATACCGTGGCCCAGGCAACCGCAACATCGTCAACGACTTCAGCCTTCAGAAGTTCAATGTCCCGTCCTGTCTACATCAGGCATGTCATGAAAAATGGCCGGGTTGAATAACTTGGCTTGAACAACTCCTGTGGCGCTGCATCTTATCTTTGGAAAGCTGCCTGGAGGTTGCAGCAATGGAAAACCGGCAAGGCGGCAAAGTCTTCACTGACGCACAAATTCTACCTTTTTACCTTGCCAAGAAACCCTGCAGGGGCAAGCGCCGCATCTGCGCCCAAGGTCGCAGCGCTGCAAGAGCCTCATGTCAGCAAGCCTTTTACTTGCAAATAGATGCTTTTTAGGCCTTTGCCCCTGGCCATGCCGAGCACCAAGTTAAACAGGGAGGCGTGCTGAACCTGAGGAAATGAGAAGGTGGCCATTTAAAAATGTTTCCCACACCAAAGCTAAATCGAAAGCCTCCAACGGAGGCGATGCTTCTGCCAATTGCTGCAGCTTGTTGTGCAGTTTGGCTTGAACACAGCAGCAGCAGGACGAAGGACCAGGGAATCAAGAAGCATTTGCAACATCTCATCTCAGAAGGGTCTGTTTGTAGCTTGGGACCCTGCGCGTCAGCACATAGCCAGCACATGAGTAGGATTTTTTGATGGTTGAACACGGTAAGATGTTTCTTGATATAAATGACTATGCCTCAGAGGAGGATAGAATCCTACTCTGTATTGGGGTCTATAGTATCCTCAAATAAAATACTAGTCACATGCGGCTACAACGAGTCACCAACCTGCCTTCACGCCGCTGGTCCTCGCAGACGGACTACAAATCAAGCGACACAAAGTCATACAGAGTTCTCATTATCCCAAAAGGGGGCCTGCAAACCCCGCTAGCGGCGCCGGCGGCTGCGGCTGCGTCGGCGGCTTCGGCTGCGAGACCGCCGCCGTCGGCTACGACTTCGCCGGCGGCTCCGGCTTCGGCTGCGTGAACGGGGCCGGCCAGGCCCTGAATCTCTGGGAGGCGCGCTGGCTTCAGCAGCGACAGCGGCCACGGTCTCCTCCTCCTCTTTGCTGGCCTGACTGGTCGCATGCTTGTTCTTCAGCCTTTCCAGTGCTGCCTTGTGTTTGTCGGCAAGCTGACTTGCCACCTGCCGCTTCGCGGTAGCTCCGTTTTTCGGCGCAGCAGCTTTTGCCTTCTTCTTGCGTCGCCCAAACTCGTCCACCTCCTCATCGCCACTGTCCCATTCATTCCTGTCATTGGGGTCCTGGCGGTCAAACAAGCCACCACCCCTACCTTCGTCCATGGCTCTCTGTGCTTTTTCTTCCTCCATAGCACGTTTCATGTCCGGAGATGGTTGCTTGCATTGCATGCAGTACATCGCTCCGCCCTCATTCTTCACCCCGCACTCACAGGTCCATGGGCCCGTGCTGGTTTTCTCTCCGTCTCGCCAGTCATCCAAGGGCCTGTTAGCTCCATCCGGCTTTCGAGCTCCGCAAGAGATGCAGGTCAGCCTCTTCTTGAAGTTCACGGTCCTACAGCTTGGCTTGGGGCATTGCCAATCCTTCGGATCGTAGGTGTTGGGCTTGAACAAGCACATCATCTTCTGCGACGGCCTGTTGTTACCGCATCGAAGGATGCTACGCCATGCAGGAGGGCTGCGCTGGGAGCTTAATCAAATGTGAATCTAACACCCACACCTGCATGAATGTGTGGACGCCTACAAGTGCATGTTATCACGGATGTGTCAGTGCAGGATACACTGCAGAGACAGAGCTATGTTTATTGTGGTGCAAGCAACACGCGGGCGGAGTGGGGGGCATCCGTGTGGACATGTCAAACAGAAGGCTGCGCTAGACTTCGGATATCGTTGTGCGGAGGTCTAGGGAAATTAGACCACGTCAAGATCAATCTTTGCAATGAGTGCACATACCCTTTTAAATGTTGCAACTGCCGCTGTGCACAAACTGGCACTAAGCCACTAAGCCAAATATGCTGTCATCAGTGGCACATGCCCTGCAGCCGCATTGCCCATCCGGTCATCTCTCACTGACATCCCCCACTGACAAGACGTCAAGAGCAAGAGGCAGCGTCGCTCAACTGCTGAGAAAATGCAGGGGCTGGATTGGCACCCAGCAAGCAGCTTCCAGCCACACACGCCCCAGGTGAAGCACGCGTACGGCTCACAAACGAGATGTCTAAAGCTGAGCCATGCACGCGGCGAAAAACACCCAGTCCGAGGCTAGATCTGCTGGTACGGTCACCTCTTGCTGTAGCACCCAGGGTACAAAAAAAAAAGCTCTCCGCACTGACTGCTACATGAATTATCTAACCATATGTGGGAACCCAACAAATTTCACAGATTTGAGAAGTAATTAGGCCAGACGCATCATGCAATGAGATTTCGAAAGTTGACCTCCTTCAAGCTTACGGTAACCAAACTCTTGTCTGCAATTTCTCCTGCGATGAGGCCTCTCTGTGCGAGATTAACATGGCAGGATCGAATTTCCGTACATGGTATGTGCAATAACATTAGCACTGCTTGGCATCGAACAGCCAAATCAGGCAAATCACGCATATGTGCAACGAATTGGCATGTGGGAGTTTCCCAGCAACAGGGATCCCATTTACATCCCAGAGCGGCATGAACCCTGCTTAACAGACCTCAAACTGAAACAAAGTCCAAACCCACAATAACGTTGAGTTTGATAAGGTGACCACACTTTTGAGAAACCCCCCCATGTGCGAATTGAGAAGCGGCAGGCTCATAGAACGAACCTGACACTTTGGCATGCGGGCTTCGGCGGGACGTGGCGATTTGTACGCAGAACAGAGACCAACACTTGCGAGAAATCCTTAAATGAGGCCTCCTGAAGACGAGGTCGCGAAGAGTGGAGTATACAAGCATCCCTTCTACTGCTAGATTTAAGGCAAAGCTACGAACAGTGCAGGTTCCTACACTTTCGTTTACCGTTGATCAGTGACTGCATAAATCATCGTAAACATCTTGCAAAGATTTGGTACCAGCAACACATAATAGACCCGTTAAGACATAGCCAGGCCTGGATTTTTATGCGACCAACCTTAAGTCTGTAAGAACTTTCTCGTGACCTGCCACTTGTTCTTGACTTCGTCATCTACTGGATTTCGCAAGGGCTTCTGTCCCTCGAGGTCTTTAGATTAAGCGCTCAAATTTGCAAATGTGTTCAACGTTCTTTACACACATGATTGACTTCACAAGTGATATTGCTTTGCTTAAACGCCAGGCTCCTCAACAACATTGGATACATGTACATTCATAAGCAGTGAATGTGACAAATGTTGACATGTAGAAGGACATGGACTTGGAAGACGACATTCTGTCAAATATGCAAGGCAAGTGCTCCGCACTTTTGGTATTACATAAGCAGCACTAACAATAATAACAATACTTTGAATTTTCCGTGCCCAATGATATATGTATATATAACCTCGCCATACGAGTGGCAGAACCCATCGCAAAATTGCAAGTCCTCATGATGGCTACGCACAGCAGTACACAAACGCAATGGGGTTCATCATAACATAGAGGCAAAAGTTGAAACACTTGCAAATGGAGACAACACTATCTGCGCCTGGAGACCCAACAATGCCATTGAGAGAAATAGAAATATGGACAGAGACATGGACCATGCAAATTTCAACCAAATATGATGGCTCTTGGCTCCTTGTATAATCATAATAATTAGTTACAGCGTGCCTTAAATAAGCTTTGGCAGTAATTTAGGCCCGAGCCAGCCGAATGGAGCAGCTAAGCTCTCAACCCTTAACGAATCTTCTCAGTGTGGGGGACCAAGTGGACTGTAGATAGAATTCCGATTTAAGGCACAACGCACAGCCCTCCCAGCCATGCAAAGGCTCCTCCTTGAAAGACCAATGTGCAGGCCTTGCGCGCTCTACCTCCGCCTGGACTGACACAACCCTCCTCCGTCTCGCCCTTAACGCTCTTCCGCCGCGCTCCTGCCGCGCCTGGCGGAACTCATCCAAGCTCTGCGATCGCATTGTCTTCTGCAGGACATCCGTAGCCTTGGGCAAGGGACTGAGGGCATGGAATGCTTCAGGGCTACAACATGTCCCAGTGGGCATGCACTGAGCACGTTAGCTGAAGATTCCTCCCATACCCGAGAGATACAAAGCTTTTTGTGCGATGCCTGGAATTTTCACCCTACATCTGAGCCAGCGTTTTTTGCTTGCAGTACCCATGCTCCTAGCAGTCCTAGCGCCAGACATACGGTCTCACCCTCTGCCAGCTCTTCATCATCATCGTCGCACGTGATCTGCACAGAAAGCACTCTTCCCAGAGTCCATGTGCCACTTAAGGGCTTCAGGGACATGCAAACTCTGTCAAAGATTTCGCTTGGCTGCGTCAGGCAGCGTACTGTCTTACTACGCCGGACTACATCTAGTCCGTTTACCGGCGCTGCGCGCATGATTCAGACTGAACACATCCAAACCCTAAACGACTCCTAACCCTGAGCCCCCAGAACCTGAGCCCTAATGGCAGTACTAGCAGTCGCACCGATGTTGCTGCAACTGGCAGCTTGCCCAGGTCATCAGTGCTTCCTACCACCAGAACAAGCATGGATAGGTTCAGCCAGAGGTTCATGGATTCAGGTTCTCAGCTTTGAGGTTGAGGGTCCAAGTACGACATGCCTGGAATTGCTCAAGGGGAAGCAGTAGAGATCTGATCTTGGAAGACCAGAACAGGCTTCTGAGCCTCTAAAGTATGCGCTCACACAAACGCAATGCCTCTGACTATGGCAGGGTGGAGACACCCCAAGCTGCAACTGCCAAACTCTCGCGGTTGAGACAATGAATGCGCAATCGCAGCACACGCGACAAAACATATAAATCAAGGGGCTTACACGGAATGATGGAAAGATTTCACTACTCGCAGGCACGCAGAAAATCGCCAGACACCTCATATGCTCTGGAGAGACGTGGACAGAGAGAACCCAAGCAGGAAACATTCTGATGTGCTTACAGCACCTCCTCGACTCGAAGATGTCAGCCATAATCTAAACTCCTAGTATCCCCCTCAATGACCCCCTATAATACTTCTCTATATAATCCCTCACATAACCCCTTCAAGGAGTTTGGACTATAGCTCATGTGGCAGTCTGATTCTGCCAGTTCGGCTTCGCCTCTTGCTCATGGATCTAGAGAAGGGCATCCATCTCCATCTATGAAAAATGAAGGTTTCCCAAAATTAGGGGTCCCATTTTTGNNATTTTGGGAAACTACCAAATGACTGGTGCTTGTAGTAAGGAATGCAGAAATGGATACCTGTAGTAATCCAAAACAAGACATTGTTTCAAGTTGCTCCGATGCCAGGAAACCTCACCTCTCGCAAACACTCACAAAGTTTGTTGTTCAAAATACTGTCCCCAAACAACTGATCGTAGATCAAGGCGCCGTTTTTAGCACATGCTCTCTTCCTTCGCAGTTATAAGATCTATTGACCACACCCGTCATCCCTCTAACTTAACCCTCCAGCCCTCCTGCCGCAGTTGTACTCCGGTGATTCGCCGCAATGATCTCCCTCCTTGGTTACGAGGGGTCCACATGAGCCATAGCCTGAGCTCCTACCGCTGAACTCCGGGAATGAGCACGGCGACGGCAAAACCAGTCAAAAAGCTACGCTAGTGTTGGTATACCTGTCTTGCAAGTCCGTAGTTACAGACAGCAATATCAACATGACACTATAATGAAAGCCAGGGCATCAGCGAAAGCACACATCGGCGAAGGCACTTAGGCCCCCACAGGCGGTGGAGCAATGCGGCAAAGTTGCCACCTTCTACTCCTCCGACTGAACATGCACCATTTCACGCTGCACAACCGCAAAAGAAGTGCATTCAGGCCCCTTCACCCTAGACTCACGAGACCTTTATCAACCACCTGCATCATGTGGAGTTCCATTCTTCTTGTCGGTGTTCTCCATGATTTTAAGCATGCTACATTATTCCCGGCATCAGTCCTGGCAGAATGCCTGGTTGATCCGACTTTACATCCGATCCTTTATGTGCCTCTCAGCTTACGCCTTCATAGCGAGCCTAATCTCTAAACCCTAAACCC